AACAAAAGGGGGTATATGAAGAAGAGCCTGAAAAACCAAAGAATAAGACAAAACATGCAAGGCACACAGGTCGAAACATTGGTACGATTACTTACCTGTACAGTCGCATTGAAATAACATGAGTTACCAAGATTTAATAGACCACAATGAGCGTGGCAAACCTCATGCCACGTTACATTTAAGGACCCCTTGAAAATCTTCACTGATGACAAATCTGGGGGTTCTGTATTCTTCCAGGAGTCAACCTGGAACCAAGAGCACAGACTTAACACATCATTAATCATCATCACAATACCAAGGCATACCTATGCTTGAGAACAGAAAGTATGACACATTTTAGACATGAACACAAAGATGAATTACTACGACATAGCAGAGAGATGCTCACCTTCATCGTTGAAAAGTGATTAAGTGGAGACCTACCCAAAACAAAATAAAAAAAAAGATTGGCAGGTGAAAATAATAAGGGGGATAGGTATTGTAGAATATTCTGCGCTACTTTCTAATTTTTTAGCATCATGACGCTTTAGTTAAGAAGGAGAAAAGTCGAAAATAACTAGACATTGTAAGAAACTGTTACGTTGGTTGAGGTTAGGATCAACAAGTATTGTGATAAAGACTGATTTTCCATCTCCAACGGTAGAAAATAAACTTTAAACACTCCTCTGAACCTTCGAATACGCTGAGACACTAATGATTCGTGTGAAACAATATTTTGACAGCCTCATTTCTTACTTACACGAAATACACGCTTTTGAGGCCGCCAAAAGTAAACAACAGCTCCGCACGCACGATTTCTCATAGCTCCCCGACTCTACCCCCCACCACCGCCCTCCGACGCTGCGCGACGCTCTTTTGTTTTTCCCGTTTTCTTCTCCGCTTCCGCTTTGGATCTTCTCCGAAGTACCCTATTTAGAGGATCGAGTCGAGACTCGAGATGAGAATGTCGGTGATGCTCCAAATTATGAGAATGTTGTCGGTGGTGTTGATATTGAACAACCTGCTCAAACTTTGAGAAGGTCTGCTCGAAAACCTGTTCCTAAAACTTGTTCTTGTTGTAATTTAGCTATTGCCAATTGTGAGCTTATTGATTATGATGATTGTGTGAGTGTTTGTGAAGCTTTAAGTGGTCCTCATCGTGATAGTTGGTTGAAGGCTATGGAAGATGAAATCAAAAGCCTACATTCTCAAAATGTGTGGGATCTAGTCGAGAGGCCTAAAAGTAAACATGTTATTGACTGCAAGTGGATTCTTAGAGTAAAGAAAAATGTTGATGGTACTGTAAATAAATTTAAGGCTCGTTTAGTTGCTAGGGGATTTTCACAAATTCCTGGTGAGCACTATGCAGAAACTTATAGTCCAGTTGTCAAGCGAAGATCGTGGAGAATCTTGATGGCCATTAGTGTAGAGAAAGGATGGAGCTACGAATTTATTGATGTGCAGGGAGCATACTTGAACAGTAAGTTGGAAGAAGAGATTTACATGTATCAACCAACCTTTTTCGAGGAAAAGGACAGTGATATGTTTGTGTGTAAGTTGAACAAAAGTCTATATGGACTTAAACAGGGTGGTAAAGACTGGCATCGTCATATTGATAATATAATGACTCAGCTAGGTCTGTATCCTTGTTATAGTGACAACTGTGTTGATGTTGATACTGATAAGCAATTATTTGTAGCTTGGTATGTTGATGATGCTTGTGTGTGTGGTCTGCCTGAAAAAATTAAGTGGCTAAAGGAAAGTTTGTTAAATGTTTTGAATATCAGATCTTTGGGATCTAATAGCCAGTATCTTTCTATTGATTGTAAAACTGATGGTCAGTCTGTAACTCTTAGTCAATCTCACTATGTTTCTCACATCCTTAAACAGTACAATATGAGTGACGCTGCTGGTTTGTCTTCTCCTCTTGAAGTTGGTGATCCTGATCGTAGACCTGAATCTCTTAGAAAATTTAATCCTAAACAGTATCAAGAGGCTACTGGTTGCTTGCTTTATTTATCTAATAATACTAGACCAGATTTGTGCTATGCTGTGAGTAAATTGTGTCAGAAAAATCAGGATCCTACTGTCAGTGATTGGAATGATGTAAAACATGTATTAAGGTATTTGGTAACTACTAAGGATCTCAAGTTATGCTACCGCAGAACAGGGGAGGTTGATAAAGTGTATTGTGATGCTGATTTTGCTGGTGATTTAACTGATAGAAAATCAAGGTGTGGATATGTGATTATGATTGCGAACTGTGCAGTGTCTTGGTACTCGAAGAAGCAACAGTCTTGTACAGCTTTATCTACCGTTGAGGCGGAGTATGTTTGTATGTGTGAAATAACTAGAGAAGTCGTTTGGATCAAAGCATTGTTAGATGAACTTGGTGTTGATGAAATTGTTGGCTCTCCTTGTGTAGTGTTTTGTGATAATCAAGGTGCAATAGGTTTAGCTAAAGATGTTGATAGAAATGTTTCAGAAAGGTCGAAGCATATTGATGTTCAATTTCATTATTGTAGGGAGATGCAGCAACTTGGTGTAGTAAAATTTCAGTATGTTAAATCAAATGAAAATGTTGCTGACATCTTTACAAAAGCATTAAAAGGAGCTAAACAAACAGAGATGTGTTCAAAATTAGGTATGATTAAATAAATCTTAAGGGGAGGTATTGATATTTGTAGTAAGATTAATTTAATGTTGGCGACTATGTTGGTACTACTGTCAAGTTGGTAGAAGTTGGAAGTCGTGTTGTTCTTCTTCTCCGGAGTTTTCCTTATGATGCTGTAGTCCTTGTCTTGTCAGTCATCTGTGTACCTTGAACCAATAAACATCTCTGCCACAAGTTGTCGTCAGTCAGTCAATCCGCCCTGGACACGCCCCAAAACCAAATTTACATAGCATCCCTCTGTAGACGGTTTTTGTGATTTACATCTTTATGGTGGAATGGACTGCGGAACCATATTTACTTAGTTCTCCCAAACAAGGCGGAATTTGGAGGCAATTCAAGTGGAGCTGAGGTCTGCATAGAGTCTGTAGTTCTGTGGCACATTTTTTTGGAGTTACCCCCTTTTCCCACCTAAGGTGATAACAATATTTCTCGCGCAGCAAAAACATTATGATACTTCTCTAAGGGTGCGCTTCGTGCCAACTGTGTCAGTTCAGAAAAGTGTTCGGCCCTAGAAAACAAGAATCAACCCCAACACACATCAAGAGAAATGACTTTGAACTTTCAGCAACCTCAAAGGCATTGTAGCTAATTTTGGTGTGCTCATTAGTCAGAGATATTTCCTCAATGACATAATGACACTCTTCTAAGTCTTGGTTACTGAAGGTCGATGATGAAGCAGAATTTGTAAAGCCAAAAAGCAGGGGGTGGAAACTCCTATGGCGCGGCTGAAGCCAAGCTCGGCGCGCCGCGCTACGCCACGCCACTGCCCAGCCGGCCGGACGGCGGGCGGAGACGGTCTGCCGCCGCGTCTTTTATTGCTCAGAAATCACTTAAAAATTGAATGTTATGAGATGCCATGATTTTTAAACAATGGATTAAGACCCAAGGAATCGCCCTGTCACATTCATTTTGCCCAAAACTTCCGTCATTTCGTACAGTTTGTTGAGAAAACTTGCGGCGGAGCACGAAAATCCAGACTGCAGTTCATATTTTATTTTTTATCGGGTATTTTGGTTGCTCTGACACGTATAGTGTAAGCGAGTCAAAGTTTCCTTGTACTTTCCTCTATCCAATGCGATACCCGGATGTTGAAAAAGACTATCCGCAAAGAAATGCACCGTCACAAAAGATGCGACGGCGAAATGACAGTTTTCGGCAACATTCATTTCCCGCTTGGATTATAATTTCATCTTTGAGGTTATCGAATAAAGACACCTCCTATGCCATGTCAAATTTTATGTAGATTCCAAATCTGTCCTCGGATTTGAAATCCGTTGAAGGATTGCTGAAATCGAAACGGATTAAGTTTGACTTGTAGAGGTTAGCCGTAGAGCTCACGTACACATAACCTCTACAAGTCAAACTTAATCCGTTTCGATTTCAGCAATCCTTCAACGGATTTCAAATCCGAGGACAGATTTGGAATCTACATAAAATTTGACATGGCATAGGAGGTGTCTTTATTCGATAACCTCAAAGATGAAACTATAATCCTAGCGGGAAATGAATGTTGCCGAAAACTGTCATTTCGCCGTCGCATCTTTTATGACGGTGCATTTCTTTGCGGATAGTCTTTTTCAACATCCGGGTATCGCATTGGATAGAGGAAAGTACAAGGAAACTTTGACTCGCTTACACTATACGTGTCAGAGCAACCAAAATACCCGATAAAAAATAAAATATGAACTGCAGTCTGGATTTTCGTGCTCCGCCGCAAGTTTTCTCGACAAACTGTACGAAATGACGGAAGTTTTGGGCAAAATGAATGTGACAGGGCGATTCCTTGGGTCTTAATCCATTGTTTAAAAATCATGGCATCTCATAACATTCAATTTTTAAGTGATTTCTGAGCAATAAAAGACGCGGCGGCAGACCGTCTCCGCCCGCCGTCCGGCCGGCTGGGCAGTGGCGTGGCGTAGCGCGGCGCGCCGAGCTTGGCTTCAGCCGCGCCATAGGAGTTTCCACCCCCTGCAAAAAGACAGAAAAGGGTCCACATATGACGAGATATACGCATGCAGCGGCGATTTCGGGAAATTGTTAGGCGTTTCATACGAATTTTTCCTACAAAAAGTAGATTTTCGCTTCCCAGCGGTTCCTGCAACATTTCCCAGAGTGCCTCCATCTCTAAAATCGTTATTTTGGGTCTCTAGAACACCCGTGCAAAGCGCCAGGCCGGGGTCACACACTAAATGTTTTTGTACCAATTTTGTACGAGACCTCACAGTTTTTTGAGCACACGAATTTTTCGTACAAATTTGTACAAAATTTTGTACAATTTTGTACAAAAATGGCAAAAAATGTGCAGTTTTTCGTACGAAAATTGTACGAAAATTTCGTGTGCACAAAAAACAGTGATGTCTTGAACAATATTGTATATGACATTTAGTGTGCAGAAAGTGCAAGGTTGATTCCAAATCTGTCGCTTACAGCCCTGACTAGTTCCTACGTCTAAATCAACTTCCGTGCAGATGTTCGAGAACGACTTCAAGGGTTGGACTTCGTTCCCCGAGGGCGAGTTGGTGTTCGAGGTGCAGCACCGGCCCAACGAGCTGGCCGTCTGGCTGGCGGGCCACCCGGACAAGGCGGCCGTGGTGCCCGTCCAGGAGCCCAGCGACAAGCTGCTGGTGACGCCTTACCTTCGGAGCTACGTCATGCCCGTCGAGTTCATCGGTAAGGCAGCCGCCAAGTTTTATTGTTTGTGCAAACTGCTGTCCTTCTGCGCAATCCAAATAGAATGATGTTGGCAGGAGCGCTAGCAACGCGAACGTTTGCTTGCAACTTGCCGAAGTAAAATGTGATTATTGTTCCTTGCAGGCAACAAAGCCGAATGCAGCGACACGGAGTTCCGGTGCCTCGACGGGGACTGCATCGACTCGGTACGTCGCTGTGACGGCCATAAGCACTGCGGTGACAACAGTGACGAGGACGTGAAACTGTGTGACGGGGGTGAGACATCTATGACATCTCGAGGGGTGCTATTCAAATGATCTTATCTGGGCGCTCCTACTCAAAAAATCTTCTCTGCATCGCAAGCAAATTTCACTATTGGTTTCTTTGATCTATTATCTCCAAGTTTGTGTGTGACTAAAATCACAAATTATTTTCATTTGTTGCTGTCTCAAATGATCAAACTTAGTGAAATTCGTTTGCATGGGTGATTCCATGCCAAACCAACGAACTCTTGGAAATTCATCTCTTCGATTTGGATGAAAGCTTTTTAGGGGTAGGGGTCATTATGAAAAGGTCCAATGTCAAAGGGTTTTGCGATATCTCTCCCCGTTTGGCTGTAATAACACAGCGAAGTTTTCACTTTGGTCAGAATCATGATATTTTTTTTCGTGAGGAATTTTTTTTGGGGTGAGACAATTTAAAATTTTTCCCCTTTTTTGGAAAAAGTAAAAAATTTTGGGGAAATTTGAAAATTTCACCAAAATTTCCTGGCGCAAAAGGGGCCTAAAAGGATCCCCGTGGAACAGTTTTCCTTACAGAAAACGTGGGGATTACGGGGGAAACTGTGGCCCCTACGGAGAATATTGTAACGGAGAATATTGATAAGAGGGCTACGGAGAATCCTGGCAAAAAAATTAACAGAATTTTCCGTACCTTTTTGCCACAGTGTTCAGTATGAGAGAAACTAGGTTAAATTTTCAAAATTGTCCAAAATGACTTTTCTATATATCAATGGACTCGTCTCGACAAGACAAAATTTATTTTCTCACGGGACATAAGCTTGGACTCAAGTTGGTTCGAGAATTCATGAAAAACGCCCAAAATGATACATCCTTTCTGCGAGGAAAGTCACATCGAAATCGGAGATGAGCCTTTTTGAAGACATCGATTTTTCGGAAAAAAATTAAGTTAAATGGAGAAACCGACATCAAAACTTCACCCAATCGTCTCGAAACTATTTCCATCGTGTTCCTCAGCTCTTTTTACGTAAAGAGCCATTGTCGGAACAAATCTGAAAACTTTCAATAAGTAGGGAGAAAAAGAAAATATCATGATTCTGGCCAAAGTGAAAATTTCGCTGTGTTATTATAGCCAAACGGTGAGAGATATCGCAAAACCCTTTGACATTGGATCTTTTCATGATGACCCCTACCCCTAAAAAAGGTTTCATCCAAATCGAAGAGATGAATTTCCAAGAGCTCGTTGGTTTGGCATGGGATCGCCCAGATAGAGATAAGACTCTTTGAACAAGAGCGCCCAGATAAGATCTTATGAAAAGGACCCCTTGATTGCAACGCCGATTTGACAATTAGATTCGTTGTTTTTATGTTGAGTGTGGCATATCGCAGCAATTGTAGGCTGCGGCAGAGGCGGCCCGGGCCCTGCGACCCTCGTGCAGAACGGCAACAAGACCTCCATCGAGTCCGTGCCGTGGCACGCGGGCATCTTCGTCGAGGCCAATGGCCGCCTCCAGAACGTGTGTGGCGGCAGTCTCGTGTCCCCGTGCATCGTTGTTACAGGTGATCTTTACTCTGAAACTTAAACGTGGGAGTATGACATATCCGCAGGAGACGAAGCGGTTTTCCTCGTCTCCGCCCCACGCGGAAATGCTCTGCGTCTGCACGCCTTGCAAATGGGTCATACCTTGATGGCTCAACCTCGTTTGTGCTGTGGGGTGGAAACGGCAATGATGACCGCACCTCACATGCAGCGTTCTCCACGTTTAGTTGGAGTTCTCAACTTTTGGTTCAACAGTGAACAACGATCCACGAAGATATACAATTTGAACCCCCTAAGTTGGTCTCATTTGTCTGCTAACGCGCATCGCTTCAAATCCTTTTTTTGTGTGTACATGCATATGCCTATTTTGGCCATCGTTTACTTACCAGATATCAATGTCGAAAAATTGGGTTCCTTGTTAAGTAAGCACTTTCTTCATCTTCTACCACTTCCCAAACTATATTCTTCATTATATTTTTATTTTTATTTTTCAGCTGCGCATTGTCTTTTGCAAGGAAAGATATTTGTCGCTCTGGGCAAATTTCTCAGTGGCTGGCATTCTGAATCCGGGGAAGACGTTCACAAGACTGAGGCATGCACGAAAATAATGGGTTGAGTCATAACAAACGCCTAGCCTAAGTTGAACTTTTTCTGAAACATTGTACATTACATGCAGCAAATACAGAGTACATGGTGTGCATTCAGCCAGTATTATTAATGTGTGATCCGTCCACGTTATGTCGTTTCTGTTTGCAGTACTATGTAGGAAGTAAAAAAGTTCAAGAACTGCAATAATTGCTGAAAACCAGCCATGTCCATGCTATTTGCTGCATACATCACGATGAATGCAGTAATGACTCCATACAATGTGCAATGTTTATTCAGTAGAGTATACTTTGATTATTGCTGTTCTTTTAAAATGCAGGTCAAAAGAATTATCAAGCATCCTCACTATTTGGGCTACATATCCAAGCTGGTTTCCGACATAGCAGTGCTTGAACTGAAAAACTGCAGCCCCATCAGCAAGAAAATTTCACCAATCTGCATTGATAAGAATGTGAAGCCCGTCTTGTCAGCTGACGTCAAGGTGCAGTTACAATTTCACCTGCAACACTTTCTTTTGGAATCATCCAATCCGTTGTTGACGATGGAGCTTCGCAGGTCGCTGGCTGGGGCAACGAGACGACCGTCTTGACGGACCTGGCGTCCGTGACCCTGAGGCAGCTCACTTTCGACGACTGTTTGGCCCTGATGACAAAGAATGGTCCGCACGTTGCTTACGTGACGCTCGACAAGTTTTGCGCACAGCGAAAAAGGGGTAAGAGCACACAAATCTGTAGGTCCATTATCTGTGGCCTTTATTCTGTCTTTGCGATGTGAGGAATGTGGGGCATTCCACGTCAAACCATCATGGTCCAAAACGCACTTGGTCAGATCCGGCTCCCAATTTTTTCTGTCATAGCCTGCCACTCAAGGACCACTCATATAAACTTTTGTAAAAAAATATTCAGAACTTTGGCCGTGGCAATTTTTTCAAAATTTCAAAAAAAAATTCAAAACTTTTTTTAAGTTTTTTAAAAATTGTGTCTTTAGGCGCTCAAATGGGTTGAAAACAGTAAATAGCCACATGATAAAGTGAGAAACAAGGTTGGGACCCTCAATCTTCGCCTAAAAGGGCGTTTTTGACTAAAAATAACGGTTTTTTGAATTCCCAAAATACGCCATCTTACTTTTTGACCATATTGGTATCAAAGGGCCCTAGGGGGGTACTCTAACTGCCAGCAAAATATTGGGGACGGCAATCCACACTGTGGCAAAAACCTACGGAAAATTCTGTAAGCAGCTTGTGGGAATTCTCCGTAGCCCCCTTATCAATATTCTCCGTAGGCTCTTACAGCATTTTCCGTAGGACCGCACAGTATTCTCCGTAGGACCTTACAGTGATCTCCGTAGGACTATACAGTCTTCCAGGTCCTACGGAGAAGACTGTGCGGACTTACAGAGAATACTGTGCGGCCCTACGGAGAATTCTGTAAGAGCCTACGGAGAATATTGATAAGAGGGCTACGGAGAATCCTGGCAAAAAAATTAACAGAATTTTCCGCACCGTTTTGCCACAGTGCATAAACACGAGAGATATTGTCAAAAAACGCTAAAAGTTATCTTAGTGGATCGTTAAAAATTGACTATTTGACACATAAATTGCTCCCGTGCACTAAAATGTTGTCCTAGTGTCTGTCTTAACTCTCTGGAACCATTTCGAGGTGAAAGTCAGCATTACAAGAGTTGAGGCACTACACAGCGAGAAATCGTGGGCCTCAACTCTTGTAATGCTGACTTTCACCTCGAAATGGTTCCAGAGAGTTAAGACAGACACTAGGACAACATTTTAATGCACGGGAGCAATTTAGGTGTCAAAGTCAATTTTTGACGATCTACTATGATAACTTTTAGCGTTTTTTGACAATATCTCTCGTGTTTATGGATTGCCGTCCCCAATATTTTGCTGGCAGTTAGAGTACCCCCCTAGGGCCCTTTGATACCAATATGGTGTAAGATGGCGTATTTTGGGAATTCAAAAAACCGTTATTTTTGGTCAAAAACGCCCTTTTAGGCGAAGACTGAGGGTCCCAACCTTGTTTCTCACTTTATTATGTTTCTATTTACTGTTTTCAACCCATTTGAGCGCCTAAAGACACAATTTAAAAAAAAACTTAAAAAAAGTTTTGAATTTTTTTTTTTTACATTTCAAAAAATCGCCACTGCCAAAGTTCTAAATATTTTTTCACAAAAATTAATATGAGTGGTCCTTGAGTGGTAGGCTATGACAGAAAAAAATTAGGGGCCGGATCTGAGCAAGTGCGTTTTGGACCATGATGGTTTGACGTGGAATGGCCCCATGTAGCTTTCGGGCTAAACGTATTTTTTTAAAGGTATAAGATCTCGTAAACTTTCGGTCTACGATTTCGTTTCAAATTTGTACACACATTGAGGATGGTAATACACTCCCGACAAAATTAAGCGTAACGCTTTTAGTCATCGTAATATTTTTTAAGTTTTTCGAGCTGGGAAGCTGAAATTTTGTACATGGGTGCCCCCACTACTCCCCTCGAGGCCTGCGAAGCGCGTGGCCCGTGCACTTCCCCTAACGGACGGCACCCACCCCTAAGATTCAAGCAAGATAGTCACTATACGTTAGAGATTTGATGGGTGTGTGTGTGGAATTCGAAGATTAGAATGGAACAAATGGTTACAGAGCCGCAAAGTTGGTGTAAGGTGCGAATGGACATGACGGAACTTACAAAATCGACCCTTTTAGCCCCCCTCCGGTGTCACAGGTTGGCTTTGAAAGTCCGTATACAAAGGGAACAAGCTAGTCTGGTGCCAAACAAGAATCTTAAGTGCATAAATGGACTGCACTCGAAGAAGTTTACCCTGGGGAGTGTGTGGACACGAAAACGCCCTCTACGCGCGGAATCACCCGCTTGTCCCACGCTTGCAAGTGTGAGACACGGTTTGTCCCACTCTTACTGCTCTACAAATCAAAGAGTGCACATGGTATGCTCTACTGGAGCATGCCTGCAAGCACGCTCTAGCTAGCGTATGCCTGCCAAGCATGCACTAACTAGTGCATACATGCCATGTACACGCTTCCTGATGCAGAAAACTCCCTATCCCTTATGCAGTAAATGTATCCTTCAGTTATCGTGTACATGGCATGTATGCACTAGTTAGTGCATGCTTGGCAGGCATGCGCTAGCTAGAGCGTGCTTGCAGCGAGGGGTTACCCACTCGTTGCTTTAGTGTACACACGATTCCGGATTCCCGCGATTCCCAGAACATATCTCTGAGAAAAAGAGAGAACTTTCGAAAATTTTCTTTGTATTGGAATGTTTTTGTGTGTATCACATGGTTACCATGACTTTAAATTGAAACTATGAGGATTTTCCATCAAATTTTGAAAGATTTAGGAATGATTCCCGGACTGAGTGTACACATGATTCCCGGAGTGGGTAACCCCTCGGCTTGCAGGCGTGCTCCAGTTAGAGCATACTATGTACACTCTTTGATTTGTAGAGTGCCTTTGGTTCCCTGTGGTTTAATGCCACAGGATCCACGCTCGTAAGTGTGAGACAAACCTTGTCTCACGCTTGCATGTGAGAGACAAACCTTGTCTCACGCTTGCAAGTGTGAGACATACCGTGTCTCACGCTTGCAAGTGTGAGACATACCGTGTCTCACACTTGCAAGCGTGGGACACACGTGGCTCACACTTGTAAGCGTGAGACATCGTGGTTCGCACTAAATAGTGTGAGACTGTCTCACACTTTGATTGGCAGTGTGGTCAAATTATGGCGTGACAGAGTGCCACGCCAAACATTGGCGTGAAAAGAAATTCACACCGAAAAACGGCTTGATGCGTGTGTCACGCCGTCATCTGGCGTAAATGTTCCATGTGGACTGGTGCGTACAATGCGTTTCATGAGGAAAGTCATACCAAAATCCGACGTGACAGTAAACACTGAGATTCCAAACGCTGTGTGTAGCACGTATGGTGCAATGCAGCTGAGATATCGCGCCATACGTGCAATGCCATAGCCATATTGAACCTTACGTGCAATGCGTCTCGAAAATGCCCTATGCTAATGCGCGGGAATGGGGAGGCATTGCACCTCATGAGCAATGTTTTGCATTGTTTCTTTGTCTCGAAACCCCCTCAATCTGCTTTTAGATTTACTCGGGTGGGGCTAAAATTATTTCTATCGGCCTGTCTGTCTGTACGTCAACGAGTCGTTTCGGAGAGATTCGGTTCGAGACCTCTTAGCGTGCACGCTCAGACTCGTATTGACGTTTTATCTCTTGCCATAAAGGTTTTTGTGCAAACGTAATAAGTACTACTTTCTTTTTATCTATGCACTATTTTGTTCATCGTATAATGTACTTAGTCCATTAAACCGGACTTTTTGTCATTTGCAACGTACGTTTCAATTTCTACATGATCTATTGACAATTTTATCTTCATTACGATCAAAATTGTGCATAGTTAAGAAGAAAATAGTACATTTAACGTTTGCTCAATAAACGCAATAAGCAAGAGAGAAAAAAGTCCATGTGGGTCTGAGAGTGTGCGATGTAACATAATTACGGAGCCAAATTTCACTGTGAAAAATTCCGTACTTTTGTACGGAAAAGGTGCAGAAGAATAGGGTACGGAGGTACGGAACGTCCGTACGCTCCATATGAACACTGCTTCCAGGCACACCAGAGTCGGGGCTGCTGCAGGGCGACAGTGGCGGCGGTGCCGTTGTCATGCAGCATGGGTCCTGGTTCCTGGCCGGGGTCGTGTCCGCCCGCCTCAAAGACGGGGACGACAGGGATATCTACGCGCTCACCGACGTGTCGCAGTACGTGGACTGGATCACGTCATTCGTCAAGCCGTGACAATTTAGAGGCGGGATGAGTGACAATCCCGCGCCCATTTCGTCAACTATTGTTTTGTGCCAATCCTTAAAATATGTATGAACACTCTGTCATATGTAGTTTAATTTGGAACCTTCCGAATAAAAACAGTGCTTTCAGACACGAAGTGCAGCCTGATAGAATCCCTCACGAAGAATGGACGGTATGTAAGTTGTTCACAAATTTGCAAAGTGGCGTATTAGTGTAACGCAACTGGGCGATTCCATGCCAAACTGAACCATGAACTCTTGAAAATCCAACCTCTCTGATATGGATGAAACTTTTTTCAGGGATAGTAGTCATCATACCGTAAAAAGATCCCACGTCAAAGGGTTTTGCGATATCTCGCCACATTTGGCTATGATAAAATTGCAAAGTTTTCCCGTTGGTCAAAATCATAAAATTTTCTCTACATGCATTTGCCTTAGTGTCGTCGGGGTTCTACGACTGTTCACTCAATTTCTTTTACATACATATGATTCGCTAGCGCCTAGCTTACCCTGCCGTGCGGGACCACTTCCGGTGACCTCAAAAATCCCGAAAAATTCCCAGATTCTTAGAATCCGGAAAGGAACCGAATTCCGTTTCCGCGCATCGACATTTCGAACCTTCGGGAAATTTGAGCCGGTCTACCGAAACGGTTTCGCATAATTTTTTTCACACAAATTCCTGTTTTACATTTTCTGAGTTCTTCACATTTTTACACACTTTTTATGTGAGCCGTTTAACATTGCGCTGTAAAAATAAAACTCATCATGAAGGTACGAAGGTACCTCTGGAAAAAATGTTGCCGACAGATCCTTGGTAAATTTACGATGGTTCTTCAGTGATTTCCGAAAATTCACGAACCAACGTAAATTTCCGAAGATTCCTTGTAGATTCACAACGATCCGTCGTAAATTCACACGGAGGAACCTTGAGTTATTTGTTTTCTAGAGAAAGTTTAGTAAATTTTCAACTTATTTCTTTCAGTACGGTCAGGAAACGAAGCGTCCAACTTAATTTTATGTTCTTCGCGATAAGTTGCTTTTTTGGTCTTCACAAGTTTTTGGTCTGAGGCAAAGTCATGCAATAGTCCCCACTGCTTCTGCCAAAACATGGCGTAAAAAGTGCCCATGTAGCCTTGTTACTTTTTAGACTAAAATTGTGTTCATTGGCATTGTAAGTCAAATGAAAATTGTGTGAAAAATATCGTGCGAAACACGTGTGAAATCACACTAGGCTAACTTCAGTGTGTGAAAAAAATTGTGCGAACCGTCGTGTTAACGTTGTTGGCATCTGTGTGCAAGGAAGGAGTTGAGCTAGAATATCCAAAATCGGAGGGTACTTCAGGAGTACCATACGAACAAATAATCCGGTGGTGCAAATCCCGTCCGAGTCGCACAAGGGCTGCTGCAAGTGCATCATGGTTTACATGAGCTGGAAGAGGATCTCTGCCATAAGGGGTGCTCGCACGTCATGTAGGGATATTTTTGGAATCAGGACGACGAGACAAATCGAATAGAGCTGGTCCCGACCCAACCGGTTGCCAGTTGGCCAGATCAGGATTTAAGGAAGGGGGTCGACCGAATAAAAATTTTTATGGCAGTTTTCGATTAGTCTCGGCCAGACCTTTGCAGCGAGGGGTCGGCAAGAGGGTAAAGGAGCCCTACTTAATGAGTCGCTGGAATCGGAGCCACGGACTCGTTTTGCGCTTCTGCCAGGATAAAATCGAAAACAAAATGCTTTTATAGATTGCGATCTTGGGCGAATCCAGGTCAACTTGAACGGCGTTTGATATCACTGTAAATCCAATGGCAGTACTTTTGGTACCTTTTTTGGCGATACAATCAAGTATCGCCAATAAACGGCCTTACGGAAAAGTATTGCCTTCAAAACGACGATACACAAAAGTATCGCCAAAATTTGGCGATACTTCGAAGTATTGCCGTCAATGCCGTGGTTGTGGCAATACCACAAAGTATCGCCAAATTTTGGCGATACTTTTGTGTATTGCCGTTCTGATGGCAATACTTTTCCGTAAGGCCGTTTATTGGCGATACACAATTGTATCGCCGAAAAATGTACTTAAGTATCGCCTTTGCATTTGCAGTGATATCCCGGCCCCCTCAGATTTAGCTCCAAACAGTCTTAAATCATTGTTGTTTACCTAAAACCACCCCAAAAAGTATTTGGTTGAAAAATATTAACATTTGGCTGAGCTGTGGCCTGTTAGTTTTTGGTCAATTTTAGTAAAATAAGTACATTGAAAATTTAAAAAATAATTTTTTTTCTCGAAATGAGGACTTTTGAGGGGTTTGCCGGTTGCCTCACCAGATATACTTTCCCACCAGATATAATCCCGCAAGATATAAATCTCACCAGATATACAGCAATTAATTTTATTTTTATAAACGCATATTCGCTAGGGGTGGGGAGTGGCTCACTGTATCCCCGCACGCCTGAACCAAATCAATCTTTATCAATTTTCCCATTAAACACAAATTAATCATCAAAATTACAAAATTATTTGAAATTATTACAAAATTAATGAAAATTAATCAGTATTAATACAAGTAATTTTTTTTTTAATTTCAAACGTTTGGAGTAAGGCGATGCTTTGAGTGGACAACTTCCAGGTGGGTGAATTGACATTGCAAGAGTGGCGGTAGAGATCTGTTGGGTCAGGCTATGATTTGTCACGAGTAGCGTAAAATCAGCTGCGTAAGAGAAAGAACTTGTCACGCGAGTGCAAGATCTGCCACGTTAGAGTAGGATCTGTCACGAGTAGCGCAGGGTCTGCCGCGTTAGTGTCAGATCTGTAACGAGAAACGTAAGATCAGCCGCGTAAGACTAAGAACTTGTCACGTGAAGTGAGATCTGCTACCTTAGAGCGTGATCTGTCACGAGCAGCAAAGGATCTGCTGCTTTAGAGTTAGATCTGTAACGAGTAGCGTAAGATCTGCCGCGTTGGAGAATGATCTGTTACGAGTAGCGTGAGATGTGCCACGTTAGAGTAAGATCTATCGCGCTAGAGTACTCTACAAATCAAAGAGTGTACATGGTACGCTCTTACTGGAGCATGCCTGCAAGCACGCTCTAACTAGCGCATGCCTGCCAAGCATGCACTAACTAGTGCATACATGCCATGTACACGCTTCCTGATGCAGAAAACTCCCTATCCCTTATGCAGTAAATGTATGCTTCAGTTAGCGTGTACATGGCATGTATGCACTAGTTAGTGCATGCTTGGCAGGCATGCGCTAGCTAGAGCGTGCTTGCAGGCATGCTCCAGTTAGAGCATACTATGTACACTCTTTGATTTGTAGAGTATGATCTGTCGCGAGTACGGTAAGATCTGTGGCAAGTCCGTTAGGTTTTGTTAGGATAGGTTGGACCTTCTAGTTTCAGGTGTATATGCCTCCCGCCCGACGGCTAGGTTCCAATTCAAATATCAGGCACTACCAGATTCAGCCTCGAGTCACGCTGTCAGTTCACCCGCCTGGGAGCAGTCCACCACAAGCCTCACCTTACTGCAAACATTTGAGATAAAACAATAAATTAATCGAAAAAATACTGATTAATTTCAATTAATTAGCAATATTGTGTAACTCGCGCTGCTCGCTGGGGGCTCCGCTCCCAGACCCCCGCATGTGTGAGGCGCGTGCCGAAGTACTTTCAGTAAGTCCGTGGTGACTAAAGGCTAATTTTCTAGGGAAGTAAATGTACTGCTTCTTTGAAAGGTCTATTTAACAGCTTTTGACCATATAATTAAGCTACTTTTACTGCCCAAACAGATAGCTTGTATTGCATTGGCTACTGTGGCAGTCAATGGGTGCATACAAGGTCCGGAAAAGATTGAAGACTGCTTTGACAAGGATAGAGGTGAATGGAAAAAAACGCAAGTCTCTACAACCACTCCTTGACCCCAAACATTTCTATGAGTGAGTGAGTGAGTGAGTCAGTCGGGTTGGGGCTTTATAGGTTCTTGAAGGCCTATTTAATCGTTTTGAGGATGTTGCCGGTGACGGGGACCCGATTGCGGCACAGTTTCGGATATGTCTCGACCAGACCTAACGATGGGGAGAATATAAATTTTCAGTCGGTCGGTCCCCTTTTTTAAAGATTGAGTGGATTTTCTTGAATTTAGGGCTATTTAATCGTTTTTTAAAGATGTTGCCAGTGACACAGACCCGATTGCGGCACAGTTTCGGAAATGTCTCGACCAGACCTCACTCTACCAAAAATGTCCTGTAAATGCCGTTAATTTATTACCAGTTTTCACTGTAGGTCAATTCACAGCGTTTACTGTGATCTGCTCACGGGATTCACTGTGATCTTGTTCGCGGTGTTCACTGTGATCTGGTCCCCAGTAAACACTGTGAGTTTGACGCAGCTGAGCACCGAAGTACAGCAAATCAGGCTCCAATTCACGGCGTTTACTGTGGCCAGATCACAGTGAACACTGTAACCGAGATCACAGTGAACGCCGTGAACTAATTCACAGCAAACACCGTGAATTGCATAACAGCAAACATTGGTAATAAATTAACGGCGTTGACAGGACATTTTTTGTAGAGTGCTACCGATGGAGAGAATAAAAATTTTTAGTCGGTCGGTCCCCTTTTTTCAAGATTGAGTGGATTTTCTTGAATTTAGGCCTATTTAATCGTTTTTTGCGGATGTTGCCAGTGACGGGGACCCAATTTCGGCACAGTTTCGGAAATGTCTCGACCAGACCTACCGATGGGGCGAATAAAAATTTTTAGTCGGTCGGTCCCCTTTTTAGAAGATTGAGTAGGTTTGCTCGGAAACGGTGATGAATTTGTTCCCCTTTTATAAAGATAAAAAGTAGGTTTGCTCGGAAACGGTGAGGAATTTTCAACTTTTGGGATTTTTCCCCATCTTTCCACAAAATTTGGAATCGAATGGAAAAAACCGCTAGTCTCTACGACCACTCCTTGACCCCAAACATTTCTATGAGTGAGTGAGTGAGTCAGTCGGATTGGGGCTTTATAGGTTCTTAACTCGCGCTGCTCGCTGGGGGCTCCGCCCCCAGACCCCCGCATGTGTGGGGCGCGTGCCGAAGTATTTTCAGTACGTCCAAGGTGACCAAAGGCAAATTTTCCATGGAAGTAAATGTACTGCTTCTTTGAAAGGTCTATTTAACAACTTTTGACCATATAATTAAGCTACTTTTACTGCCCAAATAGATAGCTTTTATTGCATTGGCTACTGTGGCAGTCAATGGGTGCACACAAGGTCCGGAAAATATTGAAGACTGCTTTGACAAGGATAGAGGTGAATGGAAAAAACCGAAAGTCTCTACGACCACCCCTTGACCCCAAACATTTCTATGAGTGAGTCAGTCAGTCAGTGTCAGTCGGATTGCCGGTGACGGGACCCGATTGCGGCACAGTTTCGGAAATGTCTCGACCAGACCTGCCGATAGAGCGAATAAAAATTTTCAGTCGGTCGGTCCCCTTTTTTAAAGATTGAGTGGATTTTGTTAATTTAAGGCCTTTTTAATCGTTTTGAGAATGTTGCCGGTGACGGGGACCCGATTGTGGCATAGTTTCGGAAATGTCTCGACCAAGCCTACCGATGGGGCGAATAAAAATTTTTAGTCGGTCGGTCCCCTTTTTTGAAGATTGAGTAGGTTTGCTCGGAAACGGTGAGAAATTTGTTCCCCTTTTTTGTAGATAAAGTAGGTTTTCTCGGAAACGGTAAGGAATTTTCGACTTTTGGGACTTTTCCCAATTTTCCCATAAAATTTGGAATCGAATGGAAAAAACCGCAAGTCTCTACGACCACTCCTTCACCCCAAACATTTCTATGAGTCAGTGAGTCAGTCGGATTGGGGCTTTATAGGTTCTTGATTTTTAGTCGGTCGGTCCCCTTTTTTGAAGAGTGAGTAGGTTTGCTCGGAAACGGTGAGGAATTTGTTCCCCTTTTTCGAAGATAAAGTAGGTTTGCTCGGAAACGGTGAGGAATTTTCAACTTTTGGGATTTTTCCCCATCTTTCCACAAAATTTGGAATCGAATGGAAAAAACCGCAAGTCTCTACGACCACTCCTTGACCCCAAACATTTCTATGAGTGAGTGAGTGAGTCAGTCGGATTGGGGCTTTATAGGTTCTTGATTTTTACATGAGCGATTCTCACGTTTCGGGGTAGTTTTGGCGTCTCTGATTTGCCGAAAGTGAGAAATATCCAATTAAGTTTTTCTGATTATTGGGGTCCTGGATGATACTGGAGTTATGGCAATGGTATTTATAGTAAAGACCTTGTACTTCCTTCCTAAAAACATGAGCCATAAGGTATTCCCATACGTTTTAGTGGGTGTTTTGATCACGGAAATTACGTTATCACGGAAGTTACAAAGTGTGAAAATCGGCTTTAACGGCTGACTCGGGCTTGCTGTGGCTTAACAGTCGTTCCAGGGTCAAATGATACTCTAAGCCCGACATTTAAGCGGAAAATTTTTTCACTTAGTGCTGCTGCAATATTGGGTAAAGGGTGCCACGGAAGTTACAGGTAATTGTTGATACACACCATTTTGTAATGCTCTAGCCCGCTTTGAGACCGTGTACAGCATTTTAGATTTCCGCGACCCATGCAATTATATCCCAGGGACTCCACTTTGATGGCTTGTGTCATGGAAAGTTTAAAGTTTGGCTTGGGGAGAAGTCCAGAGCTGCCTTTTCGAAATTTGTGTAGTGAAATTGAATATACGGTGGACATTTTTCGTTGCAGCAGAAGTACCTTTGAAAGAAGTCTGGCGTATTGGTCTTCAGTTGAAATTAGCTCGAGACATGCCAAGCTTCGAATCCCCATCGACAGTTGGCAGCATTTTCGAACCACACCGCCACACTGGGGGCGGAAAGTTCGTGTATGTTCTCTTTGGACAATCACGGAAGTTACATTTAGGGTATTCCAAACGCTACGTAGACCAATCCAACGAACGTGAACTTTTCGAAATGAGTGCGTTTAGTGGGCAATGGCCCTCCCTAACATCAGAAACAAGCCCCATGTCGATATCTGCGCTCGTTTGGGCACAGGAGTCAGAGGAAACGAAACTACCCCGAAACGTGAGAATCGCTCACATGCCATGGACACGCTTCCTGATGCAGAAAACTCCCTATCCCTTATGCAGTAAATGTATGCTTCAGTTAGCGTGTACATGGCATGTATGCACTAGTTAGTGCATGCTTGGCAGGCATGCGCTAGTTAGAGCGTGCTTGCAGGCATGCTCCAGTAAGAGCGTACCATGTACACTCTTTGATTTGTAGAGTAGTATGAACACAAACAAAGAAATCCAAACTCAAGGTGCACTAAAAAATTATAATTAAATTGTTTCGAGCAAATTTTACTAGTTTACGAGAGGTGTCAAGAATATAAATTGAAGAAAAATGTTATGCTTCAGCCAAAAGTCGATGTGAGTTTAATTAGTTACCTTGGTTTAGAAGATTTGCTGCCCTTTTAATCATAAGAATGTTCCACCTTAATATTCAGTGTCAAAAACCCCGGATTTGTCTGAGGAGATTGGACTAATGAGCTGAGCTCATTAACAAATTAATGATCCATTTATTTAGGTTTTTTGGAATATTTAAGTTCAACAAGTTGCTCTAAAACATTGTCGCACCAAATGAAGACAGGCTTAGCAATTAGCTACTGATCCATTACTTCAGGTTGTTTGCAACGTGTCAGTTCAAACACTTAGTCACAGGGTGAAATCTAAGGTAGATTATTTTGGGGATGGCAATGCCAGAAGCTCTCCTCAGCAATCTATTCTGTACAGGTGTCTGCAAAAAAGCGTTAGACATCGTGGTTCGCACTAAATAGTGGGAGACTGTCTCACACTTGGATTGGCAGTGTTGTTGTGCTTTTGTTGACTGCTTGATTCAGATTCACATGCAGGTGTTATGCGCACTCTACATGTTGGGGCGCATATGCAGTCAACAGATGGGTGAACCGCAGGTTCTGCGGAGCCAGTACTCGCCGCTTTTGTTGACTGCTTATCCGCAGAACCTTCCTGACGTTTGTTCCTCGTGTTCACAGCTTGTCGTCCCGGCGGCCGTCTTGCGGCAGTTCCGCGAAAAGGTGCCGGAGTGGCATTCCTTCCTGGCGGCGCTGCAGCGCATGGGGGCCTCCCCGAGGGGTGAATCACTGTGCGTTCTGGTGTACACGTGAGTACATGAGTACGGGTGAGTACACCTTGCTTTACCCATAAATTTCACATTTGTTAAAATCTCAATCCTTGTTAAGCGTTTTAAACATCACTCAACGCCAAATCGGTCGAAAAACTAGTGAATTTCGCCCTTTTAAAACTTGTGAGTACACTGAGTACGGGAAAATTTGTACACATGAGTACACTAGTGATTCACCCCTCGGGCCTCCCTCCTCAGCAACGCGCTCGAGCTGGTCCCCATAGCCGAGCCAGGGGAGGGCCCGCGCTGTGGCCCTCTGCCGACAATGGTCGACAGAAACATGGACGCTCAGTGTCTATGTCATTAGTGCCAGGTAAATCGACGCCTCCTTGTAGAATAATCCTAACTGGTAAACGACCAGGCCCGCCCCCGGTCTGGTCAAGCCCAGCCCGACATTGCCTGTTTTCCTACTGGCGTGATCTGCTTGAAAAACGGAGACCGCCGTACCTCGAATTCACGGTATCGAAAATACTAGCAACTGTTCAATCCAACCAACCAGTTTGGGCAGTTCCACGAAACATTCCACCATACTCAAGTTACACTGTAAATGTTTTCTCTTGAAGTTGGTGCCCTGGTGAGGTTATACTGTCTGCTGATCTGGTGTCGTATGCTGGAAGAACCGAGTGACAACAAAAATCAAATGCACTGACTTCCTCTGTGTGTGCAAACAATGCCATCCTTGTTGGACTTTGGGTTGAGACACCATCGCTGACACCAATTGCTAAGGCCTTAATTGTGTCCGAAATCGGCAGCAAAAACAGCGGAGCGGAGTGTTACTTTTTTCTAAAAATCGTCCCGCTAAACTTTTCGTACGTAAAAGTATGAGAAATCCAACATTCAGTCACTTCTTCGTTTATGTTTTGATTAACCTCGTTCAGTTTGGTTTAAAATCAGAAACTAAGATGATTTGCAAGTTTCTGATTCATGAAAGTTATTAATTCACTTATTCTTTGAGAAGTTATGCTTGCGTCTGCGAAAACTGGACGGCTGCCAGTCATGATTGGCTGAGCGATAGCGAAGCCCGTTACTCCAGTGTGGTTAAAAAACTTTTTCTGTCTGCGTGTGTGTGTGTGTGTGTGTGTGCGCGCGCGCGCACTACTCCTCCTGAACGGCTCGGCCGATCTGGCTGAGATTTTGCAGGGTCATTAGGTATATCCTTGGCTCACCACACACCAAAATTCAGCTTCCTAACTCAATCAATTCGGTCATATTGGCCAAGAAACACTAAAAAAACGGCAGAAAAAAGACAACTTTTATGATACGTTCATTTTTTTGACAGGTTTCGTGTCGTTTCCATTCGTTTGGGAGGATGCTGATGACGAAAATAGAACCCATTCTGACCCCTGACCTACAGATAAGTCCCACTAGAAAAGATTTTGATCACCAACACTAATTTTGGTGGGGATCACGCTCTTTTCTACGGTTTGACTGGGAGAGTAGCCTGTCGAAGGCAGGCTTGCGCCGCAGGCCAAGGTAGGCGTATACACCAGGCGTGGATTGTCGGGACTGGTTCAGCATCGCGAAGCCTGTTACAAGATACGGTCTGGCGTACACCTACCTTGTATCACACACTTATCTTCTGTGGAGGATTGGAGACGTTGGGGGTGCTGTTATTATCACAGGTAAATTCTCTGCTTCCCAACAACATACATTTATAATAACTATACTTTTGTCTAAATTTCAATTCTTTCTTCAATAAAAATGTTAGGTTTCTTAGAGTGTCATTCAATAACCGTTTGACTACGATCAAAATGGCACTTACAAGATTTTAGTTTGGATTGTCAATAGGTGAATGATGCAATATACAGGAAAAGTACTATTATTAGTTTGAAAAATAATGAAACTATATTGAACCTGATTAGTCTTCATTGTTGGCTGAGCAATAGCGAAGCCCGTTACTCCACTCTACAAATCAAAGAGTGTACATAGTATGCTCTAACAAGAGCATGCCTGCAAGCACGCTCTAGCTACCGCATGCCTGCCAAGCATGCACTAACTAGTGCATACATGCCATGTACACGCTTCCTGATGCAGAAAACTCCCTATCCCTTATGCAGTAGATGTATGCTTCAGTTAGCGTGTACATGGCATGTATGCACTAGTTAGTGCATGCTTGGCAGGCATGCGCTAGTTAGAGCGTGCTTGCAGGCATGCTCCAGTAAGAGCGTACCATGTACACTCTTTGATTTGTAGAGCAGTGGGGTTAAAAAAACTTTTTCTGTCGGCGTGCGTGTGTGTGTGTGTGTGTGCGCGCACTACTCCTCCTGAACGGCTCGGCCGATCTGCCTGAGATTTTGCAGGGTCATTAGGTATGTTCTTGGCTTGCCACACACCAAAATTGAGCTCTCTATATCAATCCATTCGGTCATATTTGCCTAAAAACACATCAAAAACGGCAGAAAAAATACAACTTTATACGTTCTTTCAACTTTTTGTCAATTTTCATGTCGTTTTATATGTTTTTGAGGCTGCTGATGACGAAAATAGAACCCATTCGGACCTCCGACCGAAAGTTAAGTCTCATTAGTGTAGATTTTGATGACCAAATGCTTTTTTGGAGGGGATCACGCCCATTTCTACGGTCTGCCTAGGAAGGCAGCCTGCCGAAGGCAGGTTAGCGCCGCAGGCCAAGGTAGATGTATACGCCAGGCGTGGATGGTCGACAGGGTTGCCAGACCCCTAGTGCACCGTCCCGCCACCAGAGCGCGCTCAACCCGCCGCTTCCCGCCACCTTTCAAAATGGCCCAAAACCGCCTAACAAAAAGCACCATCCCGCCTAAATTCTCGGGAAAAATATTCAAATATCAGATTTCTATATTGTTAGTCTTCATTTTTCCTTGACGATTGAACAGATTAAACTAGGCCCTAACCCCAAAGGTTTCGTCTTGAAATCCTAGAAATAAGAGGGTGCGATCATACGGCCTCTGTGGCGAGGTGTAGGTAATCTCAACTCGGACTCGAAACAAGCCGAAACAACCAAAAAGGGCCATTTTGACCATTTGGAATCAAAACCGCCCAAATTTATTTTATTTTAAGCCTAATTTGCGGTTTCCCGTAAATCGGAATTTCGACCCGCCGACTGAGACCAAAAAATAGCCTAAGTGGCGGTTTCTAGCCTAATCTGGCAACCCAGCTTGTTACAGTTTCCAAACAGGTTGAAAAGGGGTTTACGCCAGACCGCGTCTTGTCGTAACAGGCTTCGCGATGTCTCGCGGCCTGTTCCTCCAATCCGCGGCTGGCGTGCCTACCTTGGCCTGCGGCGCTACCGAGGGGTGAATCACTAGTGTACTCATGTGTACAAATTTTCCCGTACTCAGTGTACTCACAAGTTTTAAAAGGGCGAAATTCACTAGTTTTTCGACCGATTTGGCGTTGAGTGATGTTTAAAACGCTTAAAAAGGATTGAGATGTTAACAAATGTGAAATTTATGGGTAAAGCAAGGTGTACTCACCCGTACTCATGTACTCACGTGTACACCAGAACGTACAGTGATTCACCCCTCGGGCGCTACCCTGCCTTCGGCAGGTGATGGCTTGTCCATCGTCGATTTTTCTAACTTGTTGCGTGCTGGGGGGCTCCGCCCCGTAGCCCCGCTTCATTCTAGATAGTTGTTTCATCTACAGATAACTCGATCTTGACCCTTGGAACTTCTTCACTTGTCCAGGCTGCACCGGTAAAACTGAAGCGTAGTTGTACGCTTGATCAAGCATACAACTACGCTTGAAGACTTTACGCTTGACGTCAAGCGTAGAGAAGAAATTCTCCCATGCCCTTAGATAGGCGGGAGAGGGGCCAAATGGAGAACTATGCTTGAAGCCGAGCGTAGTTCTACTACGCTTGAAGAAAGGCGTAAAACTGCGCTTGAGTTCTACCAGTGTAGGGGGCTAGACCCCCTTCTACCAAGACAGAAGTGATCTGCCTGCAGAATTTTTCGCCGATTTTAAGTGTTTTGGGGCTATAAAAACTAAACCAGTTGAGCTAGGATAGTGAAATTTCGCGTGTGCTGAGCCAAGGATATACCTAAAAAGTGTGCAAAATGTCACCGAGATCGGCCGAGCCGTTCAGGAGTAGTGCGGACACACACGCACGCAGACAGGAAAACCTTTTCAACCCCACCCGACACGGGCGTGCACAAGGGGGGGGCGGAGGGGGCGATCGCCCCCCCCCCCGAAGGACCCCAAAAGGTGTAGTTTTGAGGCAGGTTTTGGCGTCCAACCCCTGGAAGTTAGGCAAAGTCCCTCAAAAAAAGGTCCCACCGCCCCTCCCGAGGAGGCGAGCTGTGCACGCCCCTGCCACCCGAGTAACAGGCGTCGCTATCGCACAGCCAATAAATGAATGGAATTTTACCTTCCTCTGAGACGAATTTGCAAGGCTTGGCCTGTAATTAATGCTTGTTCTATTTTTGTTTTAGGGTTCAATCACAATATTGCCGAGTGTGTGTTCCGAAATCCTCCGGGTTACAGCTTATTGTCAACGTTTAGTGTCTCCTTCAATAAGAGAAGCTCCAGACAAAAAAAAAATTCCAATGCTTACGCATTGCACCGTGTTCCGGTTGTGGAAATCATTTTGAAATCTGTCATTTAAACGTTAATTACGTTAATTTTACCGTTATTTACGTAACTTTGAATCCTACCGATATTTTTACATTCCCAAAAGTGATTCAGTTAACACAATGACCATCTCAGTCCATCTCGCGATCTCGCGATTTACAGTGCTCGCTCATGTTCGTCAACCGAAAGTCATCCGCGTTCCGAAAGCACCCCTCCCGAGTTTAAAAAGTTTGTCAAACCAACCGTCGTGCTGGTTATAGAATTGAGGAAAACATGAGACAAGAACCGCAGCCTTTAAAAGCAAGCCAAACAATCCAACTTCAGCAACAATGGAGGGGCAGTTTCAATGCACGACTACTCGTTTTTTCAGCCTCGCGATTTTCGAAAGGGCGCAGACGCCGAGAAAATTGTTGCCAACTGCGGAAAATCTATTTATTCTGTCTTTTCTGCTGTGAAGTTTTTACTTATGACAGATTTGAATTATGTGTAAATGTTTTATCAGTGTACAATGAGTGAACATTGGCATTTGTGAATTTTACGGCGTTTTAATTTCTTTTTATCATGGACTTTAAATTTTGACAGTTGGTATAATGGCAGTGGGACGTTTTCATCGAGAATTTTTCTTCATGTTTTTATTATTTTCTTAGAACAGTGATTAGTTTTTGTCACTTTGATGAGGCAGGAAGTTTACTTTTGAGGAGTGGCACATTTTTTCTTCGAAACGTTTCTGGAAAATGTGAACGGATAAGGGTGCTTGATTGTTGCAAATTTATGTTTTAGTCGTTTACGGAAAATTTCCACGATAAATTTTTAAGATTTTCTGGACTTTTTATTGTTTTATGAAAAGGATTAATATGGCGGGAGCGAAATGTTCATCCTGGGGGGTCCGTAGAAGAAGAATTCTGAGCGGCCCCGGGCAATAGGGGTCCTCCTTCGTCGGAACCCCTAAAAAAACACTTGGTCGGCGACATCCTAGGAGCGGGCGCTTGTGGTGTTTTATCGGTTCCTTGTATGTATACGAACTGCCGAAAAGACACTTGGACGAAATCCGACACCCCCTGTGGCTTTGGTACGGGTCTAAACACCCCAAAAACAGCTGTTTTCGAGAGTTTGGGACTAGATGGGTTCTCTCAAACCGAGATCCACAAAAGTACCCAAATGGGTCTCAGATACTCAAAAAAATGCGCTCTTTCGAATGCCGTGTCGAACGAGGCTCTACGACGTCGGGTTTGGATGCTACGGGCTCTCAAAGTTGCTCAATTTCACCATTTTTACTGAAGATTTGAGCATATCAGGGCCGTTTGAAGTAGACCATCGGAGATTTCGCTCCTCTTTGTCTTAAATGGTGCCTACCCATCGGTGAACACCCCCACAAAATTTCAGCCAAGTCAGGCAATTTTTAGAGGAACTGTGAACAATTTAAGTTTTGGGTCATTTTACCACTGGGCTTAGGTGCTAACTTAAGTGTGTACTCAGTATGCATCCACAGATGCATAATTATAATTACACACCTACATATGCATACCTAGCTGAGTACACATCTACAGATGCATACCTGTTAAGTATGCATCTGTAGGTGCATACTTGGCAAGTATGCAGAAGTAGGTGTGTACTTGTCACCATATAAATGCCCAGTATCAAGTACACATCTACAGATGCATACTTGGCTGAGTACACATCTACAGATGCATACCTGCCAAGTATGCATCTGTAGATGTGTACTCAGCGAGGTATGCATCTGTAAGTGTGTACTTGTAAGTATGCACCTGTAGATGCATACTGAGTACACACTTCAGTTTGTAGAATGGTTTTGGGTCCAGAAAAAATAATTTTTTTAGCTATCTACTTTTGATCAGCACCTCTTGAAACGCCTTTTTGGCTGAGCGACAGCGAAGCCCGTTACTCCAGTGCGGTTGAAAAGTTTTGTCTGTCTGTCTGTCTGTGTGTGTGTCTGTGTGTGTGTGTACACTACTCCTCCTGAACGGCTCGGCCGATCTGGCTGAGATTTTGCAGGCTTATTAGGTATGTTTTCGGCTCGGCACACGCGAAATTTCACTATCCTAGCTCAACTGGTTCAGTTTTTATAGCCGAAAAACACCTACAAAACGGCGAAAAATCGAGTTTTCTGCAGGTAGATGACCTCTGACTTGAAGAAAGGGGGGTCTGGGGGGCGGAGCCCCCCAGCCTTGACAAGCTAAAAAGTGACAACGGTCAAGATCGTGTTATCTGTAAATGAAGCAACTCTATCTAGAATTAAGGGGGGTCTGGGGGGCGGAGCCCCCCAACATGCAACACGTAAGAAGTATCCGACGATGGACAAGCCAATGCCTGCCGAAGGCAGGCAAGCGCCGCAGGCCAAGGTAGATACGCCAGGCGCGGATTGGAGGAACAGGCCGCGAGACATCGCGAAGCCTGTTACGACAAGACGCGGTCTGGCGTAAACCTACCTTGTTAACATGGTGCCTCAAAACTTTTTTTCGAGGACAAACTTGTCTTTTTCTAGCTGTAATTGGAACATAACTTGGAGAAAAAGACAAGTTTGTCCTCGTTTTGAGGCACCATGTTAAAAAGGCGTTTCAAGAGGTGCTGATCAAAAGAAGATAGCTAAAAAAAACTATTTTTTCTGGACCCAAAACCACTTAAGCCCAGTGGTAAAATGACCCAAAACTTAAATTGTTCACAGTTCCTCTAAAAATTGCCTGACATGGCTGAAATTTTGTGGGGGTGTTCACCGATGGGTAGGCACCATTTAAGACAAAGAGGAGCGAAATCTCCGATGGTCTACTTCAAACGGCCCTGATATGCTCAAATCTTCAGTAAAAACGGTGAAATTGAGCAACTTTGAGAGCCCGTAGCATCCAAACCCGACGTCGTAGAGCCTCGTTCGACACGGCATTCGAAAGAGCGCATTTTTTTGAGTATCTGAGACCCATTTGGGTACTTTTGTGGATCTCGGTTTGAGAGAACCCATCTAGTCCCAAACTCTCGAAAACAGCTGTTTTTGGGGTGTTTAGACCCGTACCAAAGCCACAGGGGGTGTCGGATTTCGTCCAAGTGTCTTTTCGGCAGTTCGTATACATACAAGGAACCGATAAAACACCACAAGCGCCCGCTCCTAGGATGTCGCCGACCAAGTGGTTTTTTTTGTCTGGAGCTTCTCTAATGTTAGTCTCTACTTTATTTTAACCTCATTTAGACTAGCAATTCATATCTATAATTTTTGGCTGACCTAATGACTCTTTCCCTTGATTACATTACAGAGTGCGCCTCTGAAGAGGAACCTGGTCATGATAGAAACATGCTCTCTGGATTCAAGCTTTCCAACCAAAAGCCTTTGTTCAACCAACCTGCGTGAAGTGGAAGACACTGTGCAAACGACCAGCCTGCTCCAGGACCAAGGTACTAATATTCTCAAAGTTCTTGTATCTTTGGCTTTCAGTAAGAAATTCGCCTCCAATAATATCTGACAATTCTTTATCTTTCTCGATCAGAAGGTGAACTCCCGAAACGGATGAAACGTGCAGAAGTCCCACTGGCCCTGAAACATGTAGCTCCACCTCTAGAGGATTTTGAACTGTCTACCAAGAAAAAAGGCAGGCTTCAAGAAATCTCCAATTCAGAGGAGCGGGTTGATGCTCTAAAAGTGAGGGCTTTGACGGCCCTCGGTCCGAGACCTCCGCGACCCCGAGCGGTCGGGTCACTCTGAGTCCAGCGGCAGCAGCGACAAGTCGTCCTCTGCCCGTCTCGTCCTGCGTCGAGTCTGACCGTCGCCTCTCTACTCGTACTTGTGTACTTGTTGTCTGTACTGAATAAACCCAGTGTTTAAAACCTAGCCATACCTCCATCTCTCTCGCCGGAACCTCCCCGAAACCCGCACCCTCACAATACTTCTGTGTATCGCCGTTCTGAAGGCAATACTTCTCCGTAATGCCGTTTGTTGGCGATACTCAATTTTATCGCCAAAAACTGTACCTAAGTACCACCTTTGCATTTGCAGTGCACGCTTGCAAACCTAGAACGAGCGTCCACGTTAGCTTAGTGCATGCCTATACCACACTTGGATTTGCAAAGTGCATATATTGTTGTAGTGTAAATGGGTGCAGTAGAACCTTGTTGCCACTTGGTAGGCCACCCGCAACACACTTCGCGGATCGCTCGAAGGTAAGGAGGAAGATGAGCGTGCCACTGAGACTGACAACAAAGTATCTCGCAACAACCTATTACCTCATTTCCATAATTTACCATGATGGCCCTTCGCCTGATTCTGTACATTATACCTGCGTGGCAAAATGTGGCGATGGGTTCAAGTTATTTGATGATAACACGGTAAATATAATTGGTGGTGACCCAGGTCGGAGTCAAAGTCATTTTTACGCCTTGAACACGTCTTGAAAGCGCATTGCAGGGAAGGCAACAAAAGAGGATATCGCTGACCCAACGAAAAAGTACGTTGCTTCCGTGGTAACCGAAAATATTTGTTTCAATAACAAAAACTTTGTTTGAGTAACAAAATTCTTGTTGGTAAAGCTAGCAATCTGTCAGCACAACAAAAAAGACCCGTCAAAGGAACAAAATTTATGATTTTATCTCTCCAAATAACGTTTTTTGCTCCGCCAACGGATTGTTCGTCGTAGCAACAAATTACTCGTTACGCGAACCATCTTTTCAATACTCAGACAAATTATTCCGGTTACCACGGAACCAACGTATTTTTTCGTGGGGTCAACGAATTGCTTTTTTCCGTGAAGAACAGGGTGTAGCAGGCCCACTTCAGTGTTAAACCGAGGTGTATAATCAGCAGGGCGATGTAGGGTGGGAAAAGGTTCCGTCCGCGATCTTGCTTCGGCCTTCTTGGCACCGTCAATCCGACTTCCACGCACGCGAAAAGACCACCGTTCACACCCCTCCACCTCCCCAGCGGGGGGAGCGACGTGATTAAGAACCCTGTGAGGAAGCTGTCGATCGAGATTGCCATTTCATCCAAGACCCCGCCCCCCACCCCATAGCAGATCCCTCGAGTGCACCCTCCCAGGAGATCTCCTGCTCGGAGACCCAGGAGGAGGCCGGGGACGACATGGGCATGGTCATCTCAGACGCGGAGAGCGAGGGGTCAGACGACAGCTACACCAAAAGGTTCAAGGCATTGCAGGCAGCTCAAGCATATTACCTCGTCCCAGGATCCCGCCACGGCCAAGGCAAAGGTGTAAGGGTGGGTGGGGAACCATGACCACTTTTTTTTTGTGCCTCCCTCTACTCCATAGTGTGGTGCGAAAAGTTAAGTTTGCAGCATGAGGGGATTCATTGGACCTCCAAGGACCTCTTCCACCCATTGGAACTTGTCTGCAATGCGCGGCAGGCTCACAAAACATTTTGGAAAATAAAACGCAAAGTGGTCATGGCGCCCCATATATGGGGTACCATGACCACCCCGTGGGGCACCATGACCATGGTAATTTTTTGGCCCAAAAAAGTGTACTTTCTACCGGTATTCTCATTGAAATTGTTTATATCGCTGTCCTTACCATCAGGCCAGTCAACTTAACTAAAAAACACAGTAAAAACCTTCGAAGTATCAAACTTTCTAAGATGCCTTAAAATGGACGGTTTTAAACAGTTAACGCTTTAAGGCTTTCAAATTTCACATCCAAAGCTATGACATGTGTTTAACATTTTATGTTTTTCTCGCTAAGACGAATCCAAATTCGTATGCAGATTTCAATTTGGTAAATTTTAAGAAAATTATCGCGGTTACTACACTGCAAACAACTGAAATAATTGCTGTTTCTCATAATGCCAGAGCCATCTTGGTGCAAAGTAGCCACGGATCTCTTTCGTGGCGAACTTTTGCTGTTTGGATCTCATTTAGTGCTAGAGAAACCACCATTTCAAGTCTCAGTTTCAGAACCATTCTTCATCATCCTGGTGATTCACGATTTGTGATAAAACTATCTAGTCTGCAGCAATTATTCAACCCTTATACATTTTCTGAAGCAAACAGCAAATTTCCGACGAAAATAAACCATTATCAGACCAAAAAGTGAGAAAAACCACTTAAATATGTATGGTCATGGTGCCCCACTAAAAAGTGGTCATGGCTCCCCACAATGCAGCTCACGACTCTAAAGCTCCCCGAGCAAGCAAAAAGCTACTTAGAATCAAATGTGACAATGGATATTTTGCCGGAGAGCCGACATTTTGAGACAAATCTAGGACAACGCGACACCCCCCAGCAAAAGTCTGCTATCTATGCGAGGCTAAAACATAAGCCGCTATCTGCGTGCGGTCTAATTCTAAAGCCGCCATCTGCGCCGGACCAAAATAAAAGCCGCTAACCAACTTTCCGTTTAGGTTAGGGTTGACATAAACATAGCAAATTACTAATTAACCATTCGGACAATGTTTCTGGGCCGTGGCAAAGTTACTCTGACAAACTTTAGAAACAAACAGGTAAAAGTTTGATAGCGATGTCTGTATTAGTTCTTAAACTATATAGAGTCAAAGTCGCGAGGTGGGGAAAGCAGATACAGATAGCGGCTTTTATTTTGGTCCGGCGCAGATGGCGGCTTTAGAATCGTTCGCACGCAGATAGCGGCTTATGTTTTAGCCTCGCACAGATAGCAGACTTTTGCTGGGGGGTGTCGAACGAACTTACCTCCTCAAATGTGAGAGTGAGAAAAAATATCCCAGATTTGAAATACGCTCAATTAAGCCAAAACGCTGTAACTGAAATTTTGGTGAGGTACTATGGTCGTACCCTTGAAGCTAGAAGGTAGGGCTCTGGTTGAAAATAGTTAAAATCCTATTCTCTCGAAAGTTCGGTCGACCGGTTGCCGTCGGCAAAGTAGTTCCCGAGAACGGGGGGGGGGGGGGGGGGGGGGCATGGTACCCCAGTGCGAGGGGTCGGCAACTTCCCTTGGCCGTGTACGAGGGAGTACGTATATTACCAGTAATATAGGTAATATATGTGTAATATAAAGTGATACAAAGTAATATACAGGAATATAGGGGTATTATAGAGGTGAAATTGTTGGTAATATGCAAGTAATATATGGTAATATACGGGTAATATAGCCACCGCGTACGAAGTAATATATGAGTTGCCGACCCCTCGCCCCAGTGGTCATGGTTCCCCACCCTCCCTTATTCCAAAAGGCAGCGCACGGGGGAGGGCACTCTCCGTCAGGGAGGAGGCGAGGGGCAATCTTCAGCCACCACCTCCAAACCCGCCGCGCCCACCCAGGGACATGCTCCCTCCCCACTGGCGGAGAGCATCAGGGCCTACACGAAGAGGGGACAGACGACCAGCGCTCAAGGTACAGGGGCCCCCTCGGTCCCTCCCGAGAGCCAGCCGTCCGGGGCAAACAAGGCACAGACCGCTCGGACTGACCCAAGAAGGCCAAAATGCCGCCGGTAGTGGTGTCCAAAATACAGAACTTCATGTCCCTGTCCGACGGACTGGCCAAGGCCACCGGGGGCAGGTTCGAGTGCCAAACCCGAGGGGCCGGGATGGTAGAGCGCGGAAGGAGCTTAAAGCAGTAGGCAGGAAGCTGGCCAACGAGCTAAAGGCTCTCAACTTTAAAAAGACCAAAAAAAAATCGAAAGCATTAACGACCACAACTTGCGGTGGAAAGTCATAAAGAAAGGCAAACCTCGGCCGCCAATAATCCCTCCACTCACGACAAGCAGTGGCATGGCTCGAACAAACAAAGAAAAGGCCAACGCACTGGCTAAAGCCTTACCCAGAAAATTCCAAAACAACGACTCCAACCAGTCCCCAAGCTTCAAGAAAGAGATTGATGACACCTTGGAAGCCTTAGCCAAAGCAGACCCTGGACCCATTCCTGAAATCACCAGAGAGAAGCTCGACGCTGCCCTGAAACAAATGAAAAACACAGCGCGCCAGGAGACGATGTTATCACTGCAAGATTACTAAGACTACTGCTAGATGAAGCCAGAGAACATCTGAGAGGCATTTTTGGCTGAGCGATAGCGAAACCCATTATTCCAGTAGGGTTAAAAAACTTTTTCTGTCTGTGTCTGTGCGCACTGCTCCTCCTGAACGGCTCGGCCGATTTAGCTGAGATTTTGCAGGGTCATTAGGTATGTTCGTAGCTAGCCCCACACAAAAATCCAGCTTTCTATCCCGATCCATTCGGTCGTATTAGCCCAAAAACAGTTAAAACACGGCAGAAAAAAGACAACTTTATAGGTGCTTTCAACTCCTTGTCAAGCTTCGTGTCGTTTCATATGTTATTGAGGCTGCCGATGACGAAAATAAAACCCATTCGGACCCCCGACAAAAAGTTAAGTCCCATAAGTGTAGATTTTGATGACCAAATGCTGTTTTTTGAGGGGATCACGCCCCTTTTTACGGTCTGCTTAGCAAAGCGGCCTGCCGAAGGCAAGCTAGCGCCGCAGGCCAAGGTAGGTGTATACGCCGGGCGTGGGTTGTCGAAACTGGCGCACCATCGCGAAGCCTGAGACGACAAGACACGATCCGGCGTACACCTACCTTGTATAGTAACTATGCTCCTCAAAAGTGGAAAACCCCCAGACGGCCCTGGAAGGTGCCGGGCAATCACTCTCCTGTCCGTCGTCAGCAAATTCTATGAACGGTGCATAATGCCTTACCTGAACACTGAAGAAATCCCAGACCACCACTTTGGATTTAAGGCAGAGCATGCATGCGTACAACAGCCAACTAGGCTCCTGACTGACCTAACCGAAGCCCGCTACAAAAGGCAAACAAGCATCATCGTGAGTCTGGACGTCGGTCCAGGTGCCCCCAGGCTCCGTGGCGCGCAACAGCATCCTGCAGCAGCGCAACCTGTTCGCCCACAAGCAGGGACAGAGCAACGAGGAGGCCAGAGACCGGAGGCAAACCGATGCCCAAGTCCGCTTCGGACGAGAGCGCCGTGAGGGCCAACTCCAGACGCGGCTGGACATCGAGGAGTCGAAGAAGGTTCTGGCAGCCATCGAGGCGAAGCAGCGCATGGAGGAGAAGCGGCAATACGCCGCGGACGTCGCGCGCCGAAGCAATCAACTGGAGGCCGAGCTGCACCAGCAGCACACCGCCCGCCGCGACGCTCAGACCAAGAAGACCGACACGCCGATGGACACCACCCCGGTCCAGCCGGGCTCCAAGCCAGCGTCTAGGACGGCCTCGCCGAACCCAGCCCGCCAGCAGACGGCTTCCACCACACCACTGCAGACCTCCGCCGCCGGCGACCCCCGCGGCCAACCGCGACGCCGGCAGAAGGTCCCCGCAGTGGTCATCAAGGCATCCACCAACTATGCGAAGCTCACACAGCTCTTGGCGAAGAATTTTGAGCGCCACTACGACATCTGGCTGCGTGGGCCGAGCATCGTAATACAGGTGGCGACCGTGGAGCATCATGACCTGCTCAAGGTCCTGGATGACGCCGGCATCA